ATCATGGAAGTTGTACACCATGAAAAATTACTTATACACTTTTTTCATAAAAGCTTGGGCGGATCGACGTTGAGTTGGTATATGAGGTTGGAAGGGTCCGAGATCGGAAGATAGAAAGATCTAGGTAATACTTTTCCGAAACAATGCAAGTTTAACATGAAGGTGTCTCCAAACCATTCGGATATCTAAGATATGAAGAAGGGGGCTAAAGAGACCATTAAAGAGTATACGTCAAGGTGACGGGAGGTGGTAGCTCAAATCCACCCACCTTTTGTTAGAATACGAGTTAATGTTGATATTTTCAAATATTTTCAAAGCACCTTATTTTGAGTATTTGATTAGTCATGTGTTAACGAACTTTACCGACATTGTTATCATAGCTTAGAGGGTGGAGTAAGTGATTAAATCTAGAAAGATTGTTGATGGTTCTAAAAAGAAAAAAGCGAGTGGTAACAAGAGGACATACGATTAAATACATTGGGTTAAGACTAGATCTTATCTATCCAAGAATTGAGAGAGTAATCAAGGGAAACATGGAAACCATGATAGCTTCAACAACCCATAAAAACCTTCATTCACCCACATACCCTTAGTCCAACAACCATCATGAACTAAAAATATCCATCAAATCAACTAAATCCATCCTACAGGCCTTATCAAACCTACCAAGCAAATCAATTCTCTCAAGTTATTATGCCTTTCAAAAATATAACAACTCTTACCAACCTACAAATACCATATAATCATTACCATCGGAATAAACAAGTATATAAAAAAGAATTCAAACAACTACCACTCTTATCTTTCTCATTGGATGAAATATTTGAGTACACGATAAGCATTGGACGAGTCAATTCAATCCCTACCAACCCCGATATGCCTTCCTCATCCTCCATGGTACAAGCAAAATGACGGATATGAATATCATTCCCGTGCTAGTAGACATAACATTAATGGATATCTTACTTTTAAGAATAAGCTTTTGAATTTGACCAAGTAAGGTTAGATCGGTTTCGATAATGGTCTACATCCTCTTAATGTAAATACAAGCCCACTCCCAAACCATTGTTACTAATATAAAGGATGAAGAGGCTGAGTGAGTCCGAAAGTTATGGAGGAGATATATGTTCATAATTTGCAAGTTTATTTGTTTTTTTTTAATTATTTTTAGTTTTTAAATATTATTTACTTAAATGATTTGGCTATACATGAAATAAGTCATATCTTTGAATATAAGAATGCTTCCATTCTTTAGTACAATTTTATATTGTTTGACTTGAAATTAAGAGATGTTCATTTGAAAGTATTATTTGACATTACGGAAAAACATAATGACAAACTCATTCAAAAACATTAGAAAGATTGATCAAATTTCAAAATATGATAGACAGATACTAGAGGTAATCCTTCAATACATCCTCTTTCCTTAATGAATCTTTCCGAGTAAAAATTAAAGGGGCAATCACTCCTTTTGTTAGAACTAAAACTAAAAAAAGAAATTTTTTATCCTTTCCTAACCGAACCCTTAAAGGAAAGTTTTGCCTAAGAAATATCATGAAGCCCATTTGAAAAGAACTAAATGATTAATTTCTTAAAATAACAATGAATAATACATCTTCAAGTCATGATCTCAAATTACTTTCATCATTTCTTTAGTTAACCTAAGGGTTCTCCAAATCAATCATTGTTTTTTTTTAAAAAAAAAGAGATTAGCATTTATTAGTATGGGCAAAATAACGATGAATAATACATCTTTAAGTCATGGTCTGAAATTACTTTCATCGTTTCTTTAGTTAACCTAAGGGTTCTTCAAATCAATCATTGTTTTTTCAAAAAAGAGATTAGCATTTATTAGTATGGGAAAATTAGCCTTTGAGATGAGAAAAGATCATCTTTCAAATATCTCACAAAATTTTAATCCCTTGTCATCTCAATTTGAACCTAGATAATTTCTTTTATGATAACCCAAACTAGGATCATCCCTCAAATTGAAGTTAGAATGCAAAGTCTATAAATAGTTGATGGAGCTCTCAAAAATTTTTGTTAAAAGAATTCCATTAATGACTCAAAAAGCAAAAGGAATTAAAGATGTAATTACAATTCAACAAGTGTGAGCATTATTTCATTATTTGATGGATGAAACAGTGAATGGAACGATTCACTATTTCATCCAAAATTAATGGAAGTCAAAAGCTAGAAATGGCTTTTGATTTCAAGTTTGTTTCATAATCGTTTTGATTCCCTACCATCATAGGATCCCCTTGGATGGAGCCGCAATCCATGCAGCAAAAATTCAAAAACAAATCTATTAAATTTGTAACGAGAAAAGAGAGAGAGGCAAGGAGAGGAAATGAAAAAAATTCTAAACGAAATTAGTTAGTTTTAGGCTATAAATAAAGAGTGAGAGTAAAAAGGAATGAGGGAGGTTCGGAAATTTTTCTAAGAGAGAGAGAGTGAAAATCAAGAACGAAAATATAAATTTTGGATTTTGATAGCCTTTTCTAGGTTTTTCTAGGTAGGTTCTTAAGTGTTATTCATTTTCTAGGTTCGAGTTCATCCACTATTTAGACTCGTTATTCGATTGTTTTTTTTATTTTTTCTAGGTTTGGTTTCAATCCTTACAAATTTCTTAACCTTATTTTCCGGGTTTAAAGGCTTAATTTTGGTTTCTTAGGTTTTTTCCTTTAGAAATTCTAGATAGCTACTTGGTGTTCTTCATTTTTTTGGACTCGAGCTCATCATATATGGGCTTGTACTCAACGTTCTTTCAACTTGTAGGATTCGATTTTTGGTTCGAATCTTATCCAAGCATTTCCAAACCAATCAAAAGTCTCCCAATCCTCCCAAAACCATCTTGAGGTTCAATTTCTATCCATCTCATCTTCAGAACAAGGATCATCAACTGAAGCAATTTGGTTAGTGTTCTTCTTCTTCTTCTTCTTTTAGTTTTTTATTCTATTATCTCTATCGTTTTAAATTTTTATTTATTCTTGTTTTAAGTTTTAAATTGTGATTTTGATTGAAATGAGAGTATGAACATAGTATAATTAGTTAAGTAATTTGTTTGGAATGAAATTTTGATTCTTGGCAAAAGATGAGGAATATAGAGAGAAAGTGAAGACAAGAGAGAAAGGGTCGACAAAGTTTTGATCTAAAACTAATAAGAAAAATATTCGAGCCTTGTTTGTGGATTTAGTCTAGGCCCTATAAAAAAAAAGGTTGGGCGAAGCGAAAGGTTGGGCTAGTTTCGACCAACTTCGGTCTTAACCCAAAAAAAGAAAAGAAAAGAAACTAACTTCTGCTAAAAAAAAAAAAAATGAAAAATGCCAAAAAAAGAAAGAAAATAAATAAATAAAATCAATATATATTATAGAATGGAATTGGAATTAGTCCAGTTAGCCAAAATAATAATAATAATAATAAATAAATAAATTTTGATTAGAAGGATTAAAGGGCCTAGTCCAATGGGATAAGGGCTCGATAGATTTTTTTTTTTTTTTTAGCATGCATATTTTTATTTATCAATACATTTTATTTCCAATATTAATTTAGATTTAATTTTTCTTGGATGTTTTGGAAATTATTTAATTAGTTTTAAACTTCAGAATTTATTATAACATTTATATTAGATAATTGATCGATAAATAAATAGTCAAGTCTCCTAATTTTTAGGGACTAATGATGGTTTTTTTTATCAACAAATAGTTAAAAGTAAGAAATGCAAGTGATAGTACCAAAATCAAAAAAGAAGTTTTAGGCAAGAGTTATATATATATATATAAAGAGAAAAGATAAAAGAAAAAGATCCTTAGCTAGAAAAAAATAAAAATTAGCAAAAATTCTTAACAAAGTCATCTATCCGATAGGATTGTAGTTGAAAAAAAATAATAAAAATAATTTAAATTTTTTAAAAAGTCTTCTATCCTATAGGGACTCGTCATTGCCCAAAAAAATAACAAAATTAAATTTTTTGACAAAGTCTCTTATCCGATTGGGACTATTATTGACCTCAAAAATAATAAATAAAATTCTTGACAAAGTATATTATTTGATACGGTTGTCATTGACCAAAGAAAATAATAAAAAATTTTAACAAAGTCTTCTACTCGATAAGGATTGTCGTTGCCCAAAAAAATAACAAAAAATAAAAATAAAAATCTTAACAAAATCTCTTATCCGATTGAGACTGTTGTTAGTAAAAAAAATAAAAAATAAAAAAAAATCATCATTTAATAATCAAGATGTTCTCCGACACACTATTTGTGTCTAGACTTAAAATGGATCTAATGTTTGAACCAACGTGTCTTCTAACGAAAGAGACCAACGATCATTTCAATACGATACCATGATAAAAATAAAAAACTTAATTTAGCTTTGAAAAGTTTTAGTTTAAATCAAAAAATGATTTGATACAAATAAAACACCTTAAGGGATGAATTTTAGGACTAAACTAGATGTGATATTTTTTTAAAAAAGAATATTTTTAGATGATCGATATCTTTTAAAACACATAACTAACCTTTTATCCTAAAATCTCTAAACCAATGCTATTTTTAGATTCTTAGTTACTTTAATATTAGATAACAACTCTAAACTCAATAATAACTTGCATCCTCAGAATAACTCGAATACGATACGAAATCTAAAATTTTTCGAAAGTTTCATCCTATGTCAAATAGCGAATAGCGACATGCACTGTTCTTCCTTCCATTAATCGATTCACAGTCCTCTTTTAGAGTGTGATGGGAGCAGAGAAAAGAAAAACGATTTCACGGCAGTAACAAAGCCAGCAACTTGGCCTGAACATGATTCAATAGAAGGGAATTTTATTAAGAGGGAAAAAAATTACAATGGGAACACTTGCTTGGTGATGAACGAGCTATTTGCTTTAAAATACATACTTAAGAAGCATGAATATTCTTCTTAGGGCTTGACAACAACATCTAAAAGGTAAGAGTCGAATTCCTGGCCTATTACAACTGTAGCTGGTTTCACTAGGATCAGTGACCATTAGGAAGGGAACCATTCTCACAAGCACCATCAACGGGCTTCTTGGCATAAAATCTTCGGTACATGGAGTCGACTTCTGTAAGATAGAATGTTCCTGGGGCCAAAAGGCTACAATCCTTGCTTGTGATATAGTCCTTGGCTCCGTACCTGTGCTCCATTAGGTGCATAGTTTCAACAAATTTCTCTGGAGAAAACTGCATGAGAAGCATAAGTTCAGTGAAATGTATTCAATGACACTGCCCCTTTATAATTAAATCGAGCATATACGAAATCTTCTTTCTCAGATAAAACAAAGCTCTTTACTTTTTCTGGATCATTCCAAAGATCCCAGTATTTCTTAATCATAATTCCATCAAGACCATAAGGAAACCGCATGAATACTCAGCAATCACCTTTTAAGTCCCGGCTAAGGCACACAAGAAAGTACAGTGTACTGAACGAGGAAGGAAATGAAAGGTTCCCAGGTTGTAAAGGCCCTTTAGATTGCTCATTTAAAAGAGAATACCCATCCACAGAGGGGTGTGTGTGTGTGTGTGTGCGCGCGCGCGCATGTGTCAACTGAAAACGGTGAAATTATGTTATAAATCCAAATGTTAAGGTAACAGCAGGCAGATAGGTTTTTCCAGGTTGTGATGACAGTTGAAATATATATTCCCAGATGCATGCTAAAAGGAGAATATATTTTGGCTATTCGAGCACTACATTCATATTTACCTCATGCCTTGACTTCAACTTCGTTGAAACCTTCATCACAGTTGCAATGTTTGACAAGCTAAACGGATGTTGACCCTCATTTAGTTGCAATGAGAACATTGTGGCTGTCAAACCACTTCCATATGAGAACAATATAACCCGCTTGCCCGCCTGCAATTAATTCAAACTATCTCCTAAGCACTAGCATGCAAAATAAGATAAGACTAAAGCCATCTTAATGAAAAAAATACAAGTGAAGGTTTAAAGGAAAGCCTACAATTAGAAAATCACAACAACAATTACCAATTCACTGTTTTTATTGTGAAGAAGGGATGCAAATGCTGCATAGAGAGATGCAGTATACATGTTGCCAACTTGCTTGGGTATCAAAGTGGTTGGTTGCACCTTTGCATCATAAAGAGGCTTTGCAACTTGTTGGGATACCTGTAGATGCATAACATCAAGTGATCAATCAGCAAGATGCTCGAATTTCAACAGCTAAACAATTCTAACATGGAGTTCTTAATCTTTGCAATTTAGAAGTCTGGAAATATTCAGCGTTGTGCATGCTTAGCAATTCAGTAGTGTAAGTGTAAAAATTATGACGGCTTTTTTTTTTTTTTTTCATGCAGGGGTGGGAGAGGCGTGTGGGGTCTGCATACGGGTTGGCTTTCGGAGGATTATAAATCCAAAATATTTTAGCACATTGTTTGAAAAACATCCAAACAAATATTTGATATGAGTTTGAAAACAAATGGAATATCCTTAGAAGTTGGGACTCAAAGAATTAAATGATTTCTGTCTCTTCACTGATTGATAAGTGTCAAAATAGGTTACCACCAGCCCTTCCCTTTGAAAGAGGTGGATAAAAAACGAAAGGAAGATCTCCACTCTTTTAGCAGTCAGGGTTTTAAATGCACCTTCTCAAGATCCCGGCTCTGATAGCTTTCATCACCAGATAAAGTTGAAAATGGTGCCAGTTTCTCTTTAGCAGCCTCATCAATAGAGCTGCAAATAATAGCAAATAAAGTTCAGCACTCAATATATGCAAATTTTACTTGTTAAAAACCAAAACATATAAAATTCTTCAGGGGTGAAGAAAGGACAGAACCTGGCATTCCTCAGAGAGTCATTGAACACCAAACGAGCAAAGCTTTTCTGTACAAGCTGCAATAGTTCAACATATGGAATCAAAACAAATGCTGAAAATGTTGCTTTAAGCACAGTAGAACTTCAGTGGCAACACAAAAGGCAGTTGCATAAGCAACATGATCAATTTACCTTGTTATAAGGAGAATGGAATACAAAATAGGCAGCATCAGAAAGAGAGAATTGTTTGCCTGTTGATTTCTCATACCTACACAGAGCAAGATAACAAGCAATTTAAAACATGCACCACCAGTATTATCAAAAGTGTGCATCATGAAAAATGCTCTCTGTAGTTAATATATCGTACTTGGCACATAATTGTTTGTAGCATGAATCAAGGGCCATAAGGTAGCATGTTTGAGAAAGCTTGCCATCCACAACCTACAAGTGCATTTGTCAGCATGTAGAAAAAGGTATTGATAAACATGAACAAGCTATAAATAATTATAGTAAATAGGCTATGCAGAAAAGGGAATCGATGCAGAAGGGATTTGGTGTTACCGGATATTCACTAGCAAGGTTGGGCTTGTAGAAATCATAGGCATGAGACATATGGCTCCCCCTAAATTTGCTTTCAAAAGCAATAGGTGCATCTGGGCCAATTAGCATGGCAATCGCAGCAGCTCCTCCAGTAGGTCGGGCAGGTCCTTCTGCATAGACCTGACAAATAGAAAGAGACCTCCAGTAAGAAAAGGGGACCGATAATTGCTCCAAACCAGCGAGATGAAAACTAAGTATCTTAGAAATTCAAATATTTGGTCTTGTTTCCAGAAATGAAATTGATTTTAACATCAAAGAGTTTAGCTAATGATTTTTTTTGCCTAAAAAAAAAAAGGCAAGTTTGAAGTAGTCAAAGGATATTATCATACCGCACTATCAGTACACACAACAAGCCCATAGCGTCCATCCCATGAGCTACTCTCGACCCAATTGACACAGTTGAATAAAGCGGCAGTTCCTCCATAGCATGCATTCGTCGAGTCAACGCCTTCAATGTCAGTGTTTCCACATTTCTGCTTGTTTTTCAAGAAAGAGCATCATGTTACAAGAGAGCATGCTTTTTGGTTTTCATACAGCAGAGAATTTTAATTAAATTCGGCAGTGACCTCGCAACTTAATCTATTGTATAAGACAATGGTGAAAACAAGTTGCACGGTTAAAGATCAAACTGCAAATATCAGAAAAACCCAACACTGGCCACGAGCTACTGGCCATCATGTATCCTCTTTGCTCTATGCTAAATGAAATGCAAATTCAAAAGATTTAACTAAAAGGGTTTTTTGGTTATAAAGAAATCATGGTATAGCGAGGCATGTTTCAAGTTTCAAGATAAAACAATCTGGTTCCACGAGTAAGCATTCCAAGTATGTGTCGCCTTCAGCTTAAACTGTAACAGCCATCAGGCCTTGATCTCAGAATATATTTACTTTGATAAGTTTGAAGTTTCAAACAAAACAATTTGTTAAAGATTCATTCACAGGTCCATGCAACCATAAAAACATTACAATTGTTTCAAATTATTAAATACCTCAAAGATTTGCATCAAAAAGGTCTTAATGGATTTGCTCTTGTCAATAACGGTCTCACTGCCAACTTCTAGGCGACCAATTTGCTTTGGATCAACATTGTACTTCTCAAGAAGGGAACTAACAACTGTCAAACTGAAAATCCCAAAATATATAAGATCGTTACCAACTAAAGTATAAAGCACAACCATGTATAATAGAAGTAAAGAGATCCTATATGTTGAAAAATCACAAACCTCATTGAGATAACATCTTCCACTTCTGTACAAAATCCCATGCAATCTTGCCCAAGTCCAATAGTGTATTTACCTTTGCTTGCACCATCATGGGCCTCTAGGGCTTCCTGTTTCACATGTAGAACCCAAATCACAAAATTGAAATACCAAAGCAGATTAGCTATTGCATGTTGCAGAGACAAGCAATTAATGAATCTGAAGCCCCCTTCTACAATTAATCGTTATGAAAATAAACATGAAAAAAAGAAAAGAAACAAAATACGAGAATTATTAACATAGTTAATCAATCTAAATCAAAACTTTAATAAATTAATACTAAAATTCCAAAACATGTTGGGGAAGATTGGCAAAAATATCATTCATTTATTTAAATATCTAAACCAAATTTTCGAAGGATACTAAAAAGGAGTATCATGACTAAGAACGATTAAAACCTAATTCTAACTGAAAAAGAAATTAAAATGTTTTTATTTTTATTTCACCAAACACAACTAAGAGCTTAATTAAGCCCAAATAATTTTCAATTTAATCATCCCAAAACCAAACCAAACATAAAATTTCAGGAAACAAAATCCAAAACCCTACTTTCTTAGCATTTCCTCATTTTTTCCTCAACGACCAAACAGAAACCGAAAACGAAAACAAACCTCTATTCTTAGTACAGAAAACAGAAACAAAATTCTTATTGGGAATGAGAGATAGAGATAGAGAAATGAAATTTAATCACCTGTTGAACACAGGTAGGAGGGAAGTAAATATCCACAGCGAGAATTCCCACATTCTTTGCCATTCTTGAATTTTCTTTAAATTCCTCAAGAAACGAACAGTTCTAGAAATAGAAAAAAGTTCAAGAACAAGAGCCAAACCCACCAAATTCTCTCTTTCTCGATGTATTGCTAGAAAAGCGAGATTTGGCTTGATTGGTCTATTGTAGAATAGGCTAAAAACGAGAGAAGGATGAGGAGCCTCTCGCCAAGGTGACTGAGTTTTTATAGAGAGGAAGAAGCTCTCTTTCTATTCCGAAAGAGAAAAATAAAAATAAAATTGACAAGTGTGGGGTCAGGTTCTTTTTTTTTCAAAAAAACGTTTGAACATCGGTTTTGGATAAAATTACCTTTTTGCCATTATTGAATTTTTGTTTTGTTTTTTTTTCTTCCTACTGTCTGGATATCCCCGTTTAGTTTTACCGGTTTGACTGGGCAATCCATAATCCATTCGTGGTCGATTAAAGTTATATTATGAATTTTATTAATATTTTTTTTAATATATATGATATCGATATAAAGATATATTTTTAAAACAGTTCTCAATTGACATATAAATTAGATAAAAACTATCTTTTTATTGTTAAATAAAAAATGAAATTAAGTCATGTCATAATATATACGAATAAAAAAGAAAGAAAAAGACCTATGCAAACTTAAGAGGCAATGAAGGGTGTTATATGAATTTTAGTTTATTTAAAAATTAGTTTCTGAACATTTAATTTTAAGTTTGATCTCCTCTGATTTTTTTTTTAAAAAAAAACTAATTCATTCTATGATTTATATCCATTACTCTCTTGGAAAGATTCAATTTTTAGTATTTTAAGCTAACGATTTGAATATACATTGAAAAATAATTCAATCATTTTTTATAGAAAAATCTCAGTATTTTTCAAGATAAAAAAATAATGATTTCAAATTTTTTGAAAACCTCTTGATAAATTTTATTAAATAATTTCTTTCATAGAGCTATTTATGTGATCATACCTTTTGTGAAAAAAAAAAAGACATAATAAATCTATAAAAAAAAGTTAAAAAAAAGGTCAAATGTTATATTAGAAGTTTAAAGAATAATTTTTAATTAAATAAAATTTCAATAGAGGTTTGACCCATTTAGCTTCTATTAAATGTTAAACTCTAATGTTTTGATAATAATCCAATGGTAATGGATGAGATATGAAATGAGTACTCACTCCATTTGACATAATAAATATTTATTAAAAATATATTCAATAAATATTGAGATGAATAAAAATAAAAAACGTACATGTTAGTCCTTTCATATATGAATACCAACTTTATACTATAATAATATCTAATAATATTTTTTGAAAAAATTCATATTTAGAGATCTGGTTGCATAATTTTATAAATAAGGACCAAAATTTTTATGAAAACTTTGAAGATTAAAAAAAAAAACTTACAAATAAAGGATTAAATTGTAAAAATAATTTTAAAGAGCAAAATATCTTTTTTTAAATTACAATAACTAAAATAAAATGTTTTAATAAATTATTTTTAACAAATATTAAAAGGGTGAATAAACAGAGCATAAGCAAGTAGTCGTTGAAAGGATAATTTCTTGTGTAGAATATTGTTTTAATTAAGGAGAAGAGATATTGAGTTAATGGATAGGATATGGCAGTTTTCATATAATTAGGATTTAGGTGGAACCTTAAAGTTCATCGTCCTTGTTTCGTTACGCTCGAGGGGTAGCTGGCTGACATGTGAAGTCGTAGATTCAGAGTTGCTGCGGTGGACGCTTTTTGGATGTTGTAGTTCCATCACGTGCTTTCTGTCAACAGCTCTTCGTTTTACACGTTACCGACCTTTTTCAATCCTCTGTTTCTCTTTTCTTTCACTGTATTTTTCAGATTAGAAACCTCCCATGTTCTCTTGACAACAAAACAATAATCTAAGTTCATGTACTCTTATCTGCACCACATGTCATCCGCTCAATTAGTTGCGAAATGGGAAATCACGAGAGGGTTGCTCCTCCAGTTTTTATAAAAGATTTCTTCTTGTTCTTTCTTTCTTCTTCTTTTTTTTTAAAAAATAACTATCTATCATCTTACTTTACTATTAAATTCACATATTCTTTTTATATATTTACATTTAATTTGAAAGGATAATATTTAAAAACAATAAAAATTACTTAATGATTTTTCTTAATTAATGACAGGGAAATGATAACTAAGAATCAGATAAAATAACAAGAAAAATTCAATAAAATCGTGTATCATCGAATCATATTTTAAAGGAGACATAATAATGAATTTAATGACTCATTTTTTTTTAAATGTTTATCCGTATATAGAGTAAGTAAATTGTAAGCTAATCCTTGTACTTTTTGCAAAATTGGTTAAATAGTTTGTTTTGTATAAATAATAAAAAATAAGTAAAAAATATGAAAAAATTGATTAAAAAAATATAATTAAATAAAATATAATTAGAATACTTAATTAAACTTTAAAACTAAAAAAATATTTAATTCCTATCGCAAAACTAGAAAAACTAATTTATAATTTCCTCGCATGATATGTCATGTACAAAGTTTTGCGTGTTATTTTCTTTGGTCTGACTTTAAGAAAAAGGACTTGGGATGAGATGTGCATTTAAAACTTAAAAGTCTTTAAGATTTATTATTATTATTATTATTATTCCGACCATTGTACAGCAACAGGATTTGTTTATGTAGCATGAGCTCTGATGTGATCTTTTCTTCCGTTTGCGGATCAAGTTAAATGGATGTATGACTCGCCAGGAGAAATATTTAGGCCTGACCTTTTAATAACTTATGTTGATAAAATAATATGACCAGTCAGAAGAGCTCTTGAAATTAATTCAGTGTCTTTTATTTTATTTTTTAAAATCATTAAATGAACCAATTTTTCATATAAATCATAGTAAGTCTTTTAAAAATATATCTGCAATTTAGTTCACAGGTAAACTAAGACTATTTGCATAACTGGTCAATGTATACAAAATATTTATTACATAACTATTGAACAGTATCGGTGTTGATTAATGATATAGTAAAGCAAGAAAGCCAATATTTTCTATAGCAATTTCAATCTCAAAGTATAAACCGAGTCCAATAATTAGAAATGAAAGGCACCTGATATTAACTTAAGGTTTTCTATAGTACGACATTTGTAAATTAATTTTCGGTAGTTTTTTTCTTCTTTAACTTTTGATTTAAAGAGTGGTGATAATTATATTTAAATAGAAATAATTTTTTATTTAAATCAAAAGAATGTTATAAAATTGAGTCAATTATATATATATATATATATATATATATATATATATATATATATATAATTTTTAACTTTTTGACTCAGTGATTCACTTGTTCTAATTCATACCACCTCACTTCTTCATTAAAATTGCTTTATGTCTTGTTTTCATTAAATATACGTCCAATTTAGTTCATTTTTATCGTGGGGTATTTATAAAAAATAATTTTTGAATGATGACTCGAGTCAAAGTAATGTTTATCATGAGATATTTATAAAGAAAGATGTGCTTGGGACCGCAGTCTAGTTTTGCCTGAGCTGAATTCTTCGAATGTCCCCCCTTGTCATCATCCTCTCAACAAACACGTTAAATGGCCAAGGGTCCATGCCATGAATAGATTATGTGAGCAAATTAAGATCCATTTATAAATAGTATTGCCAAGTACAAATTAAGGAGCACTCTTTGATTAGTTTAAATAGCAAAAGAAAATATATAGTAGTTGATTAAGATTCGTGGTAATCATCATTCATTAAAAGTTCAATGTCTCACTGTTTTGATCTAGTATAAATGATATATTGATGGTATTTTGATCTAATTAAATTATTTGAAAAAAAAAACCAAAAAAAAATGGTTTAAACTAAAAAATCAAAATAAAAAACTGAATAGTAATTTCGTTCGAGTTTATTATTATTATTTTTTTAAAGTTCATTAATTAAAAAATACCAAAATTGTTAAAAATTGAAAAAAAAAAAAAAGAATAATCACCTATAATTCACTTAACTATTTTAGGCTCGCGGGATTCTCGTGAATGAGTTTACCTACAGGGAGGTTTCGAGCTAGCATTAAAAGATGGCGTCCTTATTATTATTATTGCTTTTTTTAAATAAACAAAAAAAAAAGAAGTATATGTAACTACACAAGGGCAGTATGGTAACCTCGTTCGCGTACTGTTTTGACCAAGTAAATAAAACATTTCATTGGCTGTATTCTTTGTACGAACGCTACATGTGGAGGAAAAGAATCTAAATTAATTTTCCTTTTGAATTACCTTGAAAATGAAATAACAGACCCCAGCTCTTAATTCTCTTTGTTAAAACTATTGTTTGTTTTCTTTTGATTGAAACCATATTCATTTAAAACTCCATTTCAGCGTTTACTTGGATCGTTTCCAATAGAAAGATTCAATGAATCTTGAGTTTAGTATAAATAATTCTTCTCTATTTTGAAGTCTCAATTATCTATATCCGACCCTTTTCAGAATTTTGAATCTAAAATTTCTGAATGAAAATCTCAAATGATTAGTTATTTTTTTTATTTAATTTGAATTATCTACATTTTTTTACCATGAAATTAATATAGGAAAATGTTTAACAATACATTTAAAATACCAATTTTTGTAAAGTGCCTGTGTTATATTTGACTTCTCTACTCAGGACAAGAACTTGGTATCTTTCCAAGTTGGTGGAAAGCAAACAACGGGAATTTCAAGCTATGTACCAATTAAGACTATTTCTCCATCTCACTCTAACTCACAAATAATTTAGATGTTTACTTTGACGCAAAAACCATGGCGGCAGCTGAGTTGGTTGGTAAGCCACGGAGAGTCATAAGTATAAACTTACAAGCATGGGTATATATGCATAAAATTTAAAGCATATGAGATCGTGGAAAGAATCAAAACACTTGGTGCCTTTGATGGGCATATCCTATGGTTATTCAAGGAATTTAGGTGTTTTGGATTTATTATAAATTATTCTTGGTCATGTTCTTTGCTTTTTGACTTTTT